CACGCTTATTCGCGGATCTTTGTTAATTAAAATCTCGGTAACTATTGCGAATCTAGCAAAATGGTATAGGACTTTTCACCTAAGTTTTATTCCTTCTACCTGTCTACGAGAGATGTTAAACCAATTCTGGGACACCCTGTATATATATATATACTATACTCTCTCTCTCTCTCTCTCTCTCTTGCTCTTTCTCTCTTGCTCTCTCTCTCTCTCTTGCTCTCTCTCTCTCTTGCTCTTTCTCTCTTGCTCTCTCTCTCGCTCTTGCTCTCTCTCTCGCTCTTGCTCTCTCTCTCTTGCTCTCTCGCTCTCGCTCTGTCTCTCTTGCTCTCTCTCTCTCGCTCTCGCTCTCGCTCTCTCTCTCTCTCTCTCTCTCTTGCTCTCTCTCTCTTGTTCTCTCGCTCTTGCTCTCTCTCTCTCTTGCTCTCTCTCTCTTGCTCTCTCGCTCTCGCTCTCTCTCTCTCTCTCTCTCTGTCTCTCTCTCTCTCTCTCTCACTGTGTGTGTGTGTGTGTGTAGGTGTAGGTGTAGGTGTAGGTGTTGCGCGCGCGCGCAAAACCTAACAGATGCGAAATAAAATGTGGTTGAATAGGGCTACAGGCGAAGGTCCACGTTAAAAACCCTAAGGCGCTATTAGTGGGGACTACCTCCTGGGTAATGAGGAAGATCACTTCTTTATAATATTACCTATCATTATTGCAAAACATAAAACTTATATATTATATACTTATATATAATTGTTGCAAAATTATTTAATATTGTAAGATGAAAGATCTCTGTAGCAAAGTTTATGTAATATTTTTGGTTCATTTTTTATTAGGAAATGCATGACATTTCATGTATTTCGAAAATTTACATCGTTGTCTATTGATTCCACAAATTGCAATGTCACCAACATGGAAATCTCGATGTGTGAGACGAGCGAGAAACATTGAACGGTGCGCGTCCACGTGTCTAAACACATCTAAACTTTTATTTTTGCTGCTTGATCGATGTAACGATCTAATATGAGAATATATATTGAACAATTTGTATAAAAAAGGAGATTGAAAACCTATATTAAATATCATATAACATTAAACCAATGTTTTTATTTAACTTATGTCTCACAAAGCTTCACACACAATTTTTCTTTCAAAGACGTACAATATTTATATATTTACATTTTTTTCCAAAATTTACAGTCTTGGAAAAAGAACGCAATATTATTGATGATAGTAAAACATTTCAAGATGCATTATATTTTTTTTTGAAATTATTACATATGAGTTAACTGAAAGAATTCAAAAGTTTTTTAAATATTGAAAGTTATTAGTGTTCTTTTGTAATATATTTTTGTTTTGTAAATTATCACAAGAGAGAATCAACATTTTTCAGACATGTAATCTCAAAATATTTATTTTATAGTATACAAAATTCAATTAATTAATATATTATATTCTTATGATATGTTGTATGAAAACACTTTATCAAGAGACGCGGTAGCGTCTCGACGCCAAGTACAATAAAGTATCCGCCGAATAAGTGTCACTATCTAGACGCTACCATGTACCATGGTGGAAGTAACAAGGTGTGCTCGTGCGCAAGCAGTTTTGTTGGCCACACACACACAATAAAAGAGCGTGACTGAATTCAGCCATCTTAAGTCATTCAAATGTATATAATTTAAAAAGAAATCAATAATACATTTAATAAATCAATTTTAAGTATAATTTATTAATTACAATATTATATGTGTTAACTATAGTATAAATAATACTAATGAATATGCATACCGATTTGTAGAGTTAAACTATTTTTCACGTTTTTTGTTTATATCAAGTGTACACAGTTTGTCCGGAAAGTTCCCGGACT